GAAACTAGCTTGAAAACAAGGCTGAGGCGCGATCCTTTAAAATGGAATTTGGAGTGTCTATTTTTTGTGACTTTGTATTCAGGAATTTGTATTCAAGAAACATCAGCCACCTGGCGGGAAAACAGAGAATGAGCTGGGCCGCCCACGAAGGGTGGAGACAGAACCGTTTCCGCCCCCCAGTTGACGTAGGTCACAAAATCATCAGGGTTTATAAGGCGCGGTCGGCGCGGCCACTCGCCTAGCGTCCGGAGTGCGGCTGTCCAGCCGGCCCGCATCTCCGGGGTCGGTGCTGGACCGGAGCACTAAGTGAAGCTGGACTCTGCTGGACGACGGAGGCGCGGGCCAGGGCGCGGTGAGGTGGAAGGCGCGAGCTGTCACTCAGCTGGGCTGTCACTGCGACCGGCCGAGCTCGGTCCCAGTGGTACCCGCGTCGGGGCGCGAGTGCGCTTCCCAGCCCTCTCCGGCGAGGCTGCTGCGGTGTGGGAGTGACTCCCGACTTTCCTACCGCGGCTCTGTCCCTCACCTGGGCCTTGGGAAGTTTGCGGCGGAAACGAAAGTAAGTAGCTTTAGAGGAGCTTTTGCACCCAGGCTGGGCGGTCACTGCGCTTCTCCGCGGCGGGCTTCCCGGAAGGAGCGTGGCCGCGCAGTCGCGGGGTGTGGGCGGGGCTTCTGGAGCCCGGGGGTTTCGGGAAGTCGGGCCTCGCCGCTAGCGGGCTCCTGCAGGCGAAGCGGCCTGGGCGCGCCTTTCTTGTAGGGGTTTAAGTTCAAGGCGGGACAAGGCCAGGTGTCTGACCCACGGTTGTGGTGACACAATGGAGCCGGCGCTTTATGGTTATCGTTTTGGTGGGGGGTGATGAGGTATTATTGCAGTTATCTTTAAGAGAAAGTGCCATGCTCTTGCCATAGTATAAATGTCCCTAGCTGGGACTTCTTACCAACCCTTTGAAAGGGCCTTTAACTAATTGCACTTGGGCTTAGAGAAGGTTGCAAAGACAACCTGAGGCATTTGGGTATAATCTTAACTGTGAGATGGCAAATGCGGAAGGAGCGGTCCATAGCCACAGCGACAAAAAAGGGATGAATTGTCCCAACTGTGGGTGACTTCTTTGGTGGCATTTGCTTTTATGAAGTGCTGCAGATCCTCTTCAGGGTTTGGAAAAGAAACGGCATCTTGTTCACACAAGTTTTGATCAGCCTCGCCAAGAATGAGTGGGTGGAGGTATGGGTTCATTCTGATTGCCTTTGTTTATTTGACTCCTCCTTGCTTAGGATTCCTGGGCAAAGCATGAAGCTGTTTGAATCAAGGAACTTTGCATAAATCCTTTAGTTTTGAGACCACTTATTAATTCTTAACCTGATTTACACTTGAAGAAACCAAGAAAGGGAATGAACTTGGAAATGTAGAGTGACTTAGTACTCATTGTATTTTGTGAAGAATAAGGAGGCAGTGGTGGCCACTTAGAAATGTGGAATACTGTAGCTCTTCTATGCACAAAAGTAAGACTAGCCTATTTTAAAATTGAATTTAGAGAAAACAGCTGTAACAAATTTAATTATTGTTTTCTATCTGCACTATATTGAGTCCTAGAGATATATTATACTTCCAGGATTGTGATTATTAATGAGTGTTAAGAAAAAAACCTACAATGTCAACTTCCAAACCGGGCAAGGTACTGTTTGTACATAATGTGTTAATACCACCTATATGATCTAGAATTTGAAAATATAGCTTCCTGTGCTTTGGTTGGATATTATATTCTGGCAGAAATAGCTGATTACATTAATGTATAGAATATCAATTTTGGACCATATTTTCCATGTTTTTAAAAATTAGTCTGTAGACTCCCCATATTTCAAAATGTAGTGTACTCATTTAATTTAGACAGGAAAGACTGTAAGATTGGATCTTTGTATCTGGACTTTTCCAAAGACAAATTATTGGTCATGCAAAGTAGCATGTGATCGGAGAACTGATTTGGAATTTTGAGGAAAAGGGACAAGGTTTGAGTCTAGGATCTGTCATTTCGTGTGAATTATTTAACACTGAATCTTAAGTTTCTTCACGTGTAAATTAAAAAGGTGATGATGATGATAATAAAATTGACTTCACAGGGTCATAATGTGCCAATAATATGATCATGTTTGCTTAAACACTTTTTTGATTTTGTCTTTTGCTGGTGGACATTTGGCTCTTCCTTGCTCGACTCTTTCTAGGCAAAGCATCAGGCTTTTATAATCAGAGAACCTTGGAGAAGCCCTCTGGTCTTGTTGGGTACCTGAGTAAAATCAGAGTTCCATTAGCAGAGAAGTGAGACATTGGCAGACAATCGACATTTTCTGTCACACTTCACTATGTATGGAAAATGGGGGGAAATTAATTAGATTAGCCATTTAAAGGTAAATATGCATATTTTGATAATTAAACTTATCCTGACTTAGAAGGTAAATTGAGAAATTTCTTGGGAATTTTCATTAATTTTAGTGGGAAAAAAATGCTTCCCTGCATCCTTCGATTACTGTGAGTTTATCTCAAAACAATAACAAATCCCATTAAAAGGATGCAATTAGTTGAAATTAGTTATGGCACTAATAATGGCTAGCTTGCCTTCATTAATACTCTGTAACATGCTATTATGATATGGGCTTTCTAACCTAAATTCATTGTGGGTGTTTTTTGGCCCTTGGGTATTCCTCACTCCTCACAAGAAGTGGCTAAACAAATTTGAATTGGAGTTGGAGGCAGTGCGTACCACATTGGAATTGAAGGCACTCCTAGTGTATGTGAAATCATGAGTTCAATCCCAATCATCAGTAATATAAGGCTGAATCATTTGTGGGGAAATAAAGGAGGAAAAAACACTAAGAAGAAATCATTGAAACTCAGCCAAATACAAATAAGATTAAGATCAGACTAAAGTAGCAAACCACAAGACCATATGGAGAACTGATTGGGTCAAGAGCCAAGCTCACGAAGTATAGTGAACCTGCCCAGAGGCCTTCTTCCCCGAGATGTATCATGCATCCAGGAAGCTTGGAGGGCCTAGTATTGACAAGTTTGAGGAAATGTGGTCTGAGGTGAAGGAGAGATTCCAAATAAAAATCATAAAAGTTGAAATTGTATACCCAAATAGGCGTATTTCAGGACCTGATTAGTAATTTCTTGACTGTTTGAGTATTTTTCATGTTATTTAACATTCTTATACAGTCTTATTTTTAAAAACTGATACACTTAACACTAGGGATGGGGCATAACTTATTCTCTACTCTGTACCTATATACATTGGTTTACATGCTTTTGCTGTTCTATGTAGTGTAACTGGGAACATCACTGTATATCAACATCTCAGATTTAATTCCTCGGAGTCAAGAACTATTGAATCAAGGAATTATCCCTTCTTTAAAACATAATTTTATTATAAACATAATTTGTGTTTATTGTATACAGTAAAAGTGTAAAGTAAAAAATAATTTATTTAAAAAATAATAATAATAATAATTTATTTCCCTATAGTTCAGGTAATAATCCTGGCTGATATTTGGATATCTTTCTCTATGTCTTTTTTCCTGAATATGTGCATACACACACACACACACACACACACACACACACATATCTGTTTACACACAAAAAATGTTTACAGATTTATTCTTTGAAAACAATTGATATGTAATATTCTATCTTATGATTATGCTATAACCCATTTAATTATTTTCTTTGTTCTTGGACAGTTAAGTGATTCTTTTTTTAATAAAAGCTATCCATTTAATGATCAGTTGGCACATATTAAGATTCTGTTAGACACTGGAAACAGTGCCACAACAGGTTTTTGATTTTTTGTTTGTTTATTTGCCTTCTGTGAGCTTCATTAGAAATAATTCTCAAATAACAGTTGTCTTAACTTTCAGGAGAGAGGTACAGGGTGCTGTGAAAATCTCTAAACAGAAGGGTGTAGCACGACTCTTAAATGCAATTACACTGAGACCTGACAGATGAGCAATCTATAGTCAGGCAAGAGGTTGACGGGAAAAGGTTGGGACAAATTACCATCATGAGATAGGAAAGACCACGTGCCCCAGTGAATCTCTGGTAAATGAAAAAGGAAGGCTTAGAATGAATGTTATATCTTTTATGCTTTCTATCTCTCCCTCACCCCCAATTTTATTCTCATAGGGATTGCCCAGTGGGGATCTTCTGGCATTCTCAAAGCCAGAAAAAAGGAATCAGTTTGGATAAATAAATGTGGCCACATAACCACACAATGAGGCTAATCATAGCCACAACCAATAAATGTGTTTTCCCATAATTTTTCTCATGTTATCCTTACCAGTCCTCTGATGAAGTCATTATTATTTACTTTTGCAGATGAGGAAGTTGAAACCTAAGTAAGTTCCCCAAGTTCATAGAGCTAATGAATTACAGAGCCAAAGTTCATGTAAGAAGAAGGCCCATGCCCTTTGCACTGCCATGATGGCTCCTTGCTATGTCATCTCCAGCACTGGCCTCACCCTTTCTCTTCCTCAGCCTTCATGCCTTTTTCTTGTCAGCCTCCCCATCCTCCCCTCCCTGTGCCTGTCCCATTGATCCATTTCTTTCTCTTGTGCTTCCTTTCTCTTGGCAATGCCTTGCATAACAGGGAACATGCCCGTAGGGTTAGTCTAAGGTGCTGAGGTGAGGGCATCATCTGCTTAGCCTTTCTGTAAGATGTAGAAGGTTGCTTATCTGAGCTGTCTGCACCAGGCCATTGGACAAGGCGGTAAGTATTCCAGGCATTTTTAGAATGTCTGCTCCCCAAGGTACTTTTTAAACTTCCTGCCTTCTAACACTTGATTATGAAAACATCAAATAAGGTGCAAAGTTAAAAAGATTTTACAGTGTATGCTAATATATCGGCTATCAGCACAGTTTTACTCGGTTTTATCACATCACTATCTCCTCTATTAATCTGTGAGTCTAATTTTTGGGGGTGCAGAAAGGGTTATTTTTTTGTTTCCCAGGCTGGCCTTGAACTCATGATTCTCTCCTGCCTCAGCCTTCCAAATTGCTGGGATTACAGATATGGGTAACTGCACCCAGCTATGTGATTTTTTTTTTTTGCATGCATTTCAAATTAAATTGTAGATATCAGTACCCATCCCTCCAAATACCACAGCATGCATGCTACAACTAAAGTTCAGTATATTTATAGTTTGTTCTTTTGGTGTAATATTTATCTGCAGTTTTTAAAAGTACAGTTATTCCTTGGTATCCTTAGGAGACTGGTTTCAGGACCCACTTTGATACCAAAATCCACAATGCTCAAGTCTCCTATATGAAATGACATAGTATTTACATAGAATCTACACACATCTTCCCATGTACTTTATTTTTAATTTTTTTGTAGTTATAGATGGACAGCATGCCTTTATTTTGTTTATTTTTATGCTGTGCTAAGGCTTGAATCCACTGCCTCACATGTGCTAAGTAAGCACTCTGCCACTGAGCTACAGCTCCAGCCCCCCTTTTAAATCATTCCTAGATTACTTATAATACCTAATACAATGTAAATGCTACTAAAT